CGCATTCAGTTCTTTACACAGTGATAGAAACAAATTCTAGTGAAAATGCTTCGGATAATTTATACTGAGCCACAAACTCACATATAGTTTAATTGATTTAATACCACTCTTCTTCAAAAAGTACTTGCGGTCTTGAATGTAACTACGTTATTACGATCGCCGGTGAGCTAAACTTATATCCAAAATGAAACCAATTATGAGTCATAGATTTAAAACTTTATGAAAGGTAAAGTTTTCCTAGATAAACGCAGCTTACGAAAACAAATTAGTTCACACCATAGATATAATATCACTAATAGATTGTGTATCGTATACTGAAGCCTCTCATCGCTGTTTCCTTCCGGCAAGTTGATAAAAGGAAGGAACAAAAATCAAAATATACAGAGTTTCGTCAGTACAAAGTGTGGGGGGGGTCTAGATACATAATGTTTTTAATCTATTTCAAGCCCATTTGTATGTTATACTATTAAAATGAAAACCCTAAAGGAAAATTATGAATAGAAATAAAATGAGTCGGGATTTGTTTTCCCTATTTATATCCTGTGCTCTAAAAATGATTTTAACATTTTGATTAAAAAAAATAATTAATTTTTTATTCTTAGAAGTTATTTAAGTAAAAATAATAAAAAATTCATAATAAGCATTCAGTTAATATGCATTAGAACTTTCCTCAAATAAATATTCATATGATATTTAGTTGATGTATGCAGAACTGTAATAAAATGGTTGAATATTACTATCAAAGATATCGAAATAATAATAATACATACTTATGCAGCAATATATATATAACTTTGCTAACTTTTCCTGTAGTAATATTGCAACGAAAATAAACACAGCTTTCAGAAAAATAAGTAACTGAAAAAGAGAAAGGGGAATAAAGGTAAAAATATTCAAAATAAATTTATTGCATCGAGTTATGCACATATTAAAATTACAAGGGTTGAGCATGAAGCTGACTACTTTTCAAATATTGCAGTTCATAAGAAAACAAGTTCAAATAGAAGAGAAGCACGCTTTAAATGACAATCGGAACCAGATTGTTTCAAACGATGTCACAAGATTCTTCACTGCTTAGTGATTCTCTGGTTTCCTGTTTACCAGAAAACCCTGACTCACTTGTCTAGATGCATTCCATGTTGTTGGTCCACGATCAATAAGTTTCTGTCCAAACTCAGAATAACGTAACAAATTTTATGCCTGAAGTCAAATAAATATACTTCCATTATCTTATCCCAACCTAGCAAAGAGTCAAACACCTAGCAGAGGAAATTTGCTGCATAAGTATGTAAATACTGCATCATCCTCTTGCAAAACCATTACTAAGTTCTTAATCATGCCTTTCTTCTTTTTTGTAATGTAAATCTTGACACTTCTGTCCTACTCACACGGGAATCAGCAGTATTTCGAGTAACCTTTTTGTAAACTTAGCAAAATTCGAATAACTTTAAAATCCCAGCAAGTTTTCGATCCAAAATCTATTATATTCCATGTACCGAAGAATTGCTTTCATGTTTTCATAATTTTTCTTAATGGGAAATGTCTAAGCAACAAACATTGAGGGAAGAACATTACTGTTATACAGCAAAATGTTTTCAAACAGAACATAGAAGAGTAGATAAAAGACCCTTAAATAAAATAACCTTTGTTAACCTTATGGGCGATTACGTTGTGAATATTTCCATGAATGCCTTCGCCTTGCTATTGCACACTGCCGTATTTTCAAAAGTTTTTCTGTACATAAATAAACATTCCATTCTATTTTACCAATCGAAATTTTTAATGCCATTTTCGTTTCAGCACCCAAAAATTAGTGAAGACTGGATACTTATGCAGAAAAATGTTCTTAAGATGATGTAACACAGCTACGAAATGGAGGAAAGGAGAACACACATATAGCCAAGACTTACCCGAGAGTCAAATCCACATTCTTGATTTTGAATTAGCATTCCGCCAACAATTATACAAAACAATGGGACTACATAACACACCTATGTTATCTAAAACCGAAAGTTTGTCAGTGAATTAAACATATTTTTCTATCTTAATATTTATACAGAAGAAACCAAATGCACGTAGGTGGATCCAAAGAGAAAGATGAAAAGTAAATATTGTGGAGGGAATATTTTATCGTCAGAGTGTAGGCAAAGGCACTAGTTGTCCAGAAGAGGTTGAGAGGGTAGGTAGAGTAAGTCTGCAGACGCATCAGAGCAATTGCAATGCTAAGACGTTTAAAAACTCGTTGTCCTGATCCAGTATCTGGAGTGTGGTCATACTTTTGCAACTGATCGTTATTGTGCCATTAAGACAAGGCTATGCGAAGCCATCCGACGCAAGCGCCCTGGCATGTTGAGTGATGGTATCATACTCCTGCATGGCAATGCCTGGCCCCGTACTGCTCTCCAGACTCAGTTGCTAAAAACGTTTAAGTGGGAAATCTGTAGTCAACCCCTTACAACCTAATGACTATTTTTTTCTTTGAAATTGAAGGAACATTTATCTGGAATGAGGTTCTCTTCAAACAGTAATGTGAAAACAACCACTGAGAACTGGCTCAATTGGAAGGGACGTGAGACTTCTACAATACCGGGTTAAACAAGTTAGTCCTTCGTTCAGATAAATGCCTTTGGTGATTATGTAGAAAAATGATAGGCAACTGTGCCCATTGACTCCCTTTTGTATTTTTTGTCTGTTGTCAATAAATAACGCTTTTATTAACCTTCTAACCATTTTTTTATCCATCTTCGAAAAAATATTGAAAACAGAGTACGAATTCACTTATTTTTCGATTCCGATGAAAAACTGCATATTGTTAATGCATATCATTTATTAAAAACAGTTAACTGAAAGGAAAAAAAAACGTGTTCTGTGATTTAGAGTAGAATTCTCAAACTGCGAGGTAACAGGTTGAGATAGGTTCTTTATTTCTTCAAAGCAGGTAGTAGTAAAATAAAGTTTTATCTTATAATACAGCTTCTAAGAATAAATGGTATTTATTTAAGACTTACTAGTAGAACCCGACAAAAGTGTTGGATATCTTTTATACTTTTTGATTCGACAAACCTAATAATCCTACAAGATGAACACCCGATGATTTTAATGCAACTGCACTATGTCACCAAAACGCTCTTCCCTATCAAAGCTTAGAAAGTCCTCCACGAAGGCATCTCCTTCTCTTCGTCAGATAGCCATAGTGTGCTTTGCCATAATTAAATAAACCCAAACCAAACTTCCGTATCAAAGCAGCAGAATTTTACTCCCTAATAATGCATGAGTAAATCCCATTCATGTTTGTGGCACCAATTTCTCATACTAAACTTTAGAGTATATTAAGGTAACGATTTTTGAAATGCTGAAATAATAAGGCTCCCTATCTGTCCTTTGAAAATTTTATCTCTTTTAAATTTATTTTAAAAAATCTTTTTATAAATAACAAAATGTTACATTAAAATTCCTTTGTTGTATTTCTTAACAACTCAAAATGTTACTATTCAATGCACTGTAAACTGAAAGCCATTAAAAATAATAGCTTTATTAAAGATGGATTTGTTCATTTGCTCGGTGTTCGAATCCGCACAGTAAAGCTGGGACAACAGCCAGCATACTTTCACCATTACACCTTCAAGGGCGACATAGAAGAGGCATTATAGTATTAGTAAAATAAATTGTGTTTTGAGAATTTTGAAAATACTTCGGTAAGCCGAAACTACACAGAATCAACTAACGAAGGTGGCACTTATTTAAGATCACCGGTGAAAGCAGAATACATTCTCCTACTGAAGTGACCCAGACTTCAGCTTAAATACTCCTTTCCACCTGATTTGCATAAACAGTAATCCTGAAAACTCATTTTGGGAGGGAAACATTGGTGAAAATTTAGCATGTATGGGGAAGGCTTCTTCCAAAATAAAAATTAAAATAAAGCCTACAACTGTATGGTTGTTGTTAATTATAAACCCTACTCAGTTTATAAGGTATTTCTCCCACCACCAAATGAATTTCTATTAAAAATTCCCACATTACTGTTTCTAAAATTAGTAATTTAATTTTGTAGATTTTTTTCCTTAAACAAATACTTTCAATAAAAACACTTTACTTTCATAGAAAACGGACAGCCATTATAATAACTGATGATTGAATTGCGTATAAAAACTTTGTCAATTGTGATTTCAGTATTAATCGTTGAACAGTTTAAATATGGAAGGTGCCTTAGGAAAAATTTCAACACTCTTAATGGGAATAATTTTCTAATTTTTATGGTACACTTTATGAAGTAAGCGCAATGGAAGTTCCATACTGCGGCACTAATTATAGATGATTTTGATGCTCTAAAGAAGTGATAAGCTGAAATAACATAACTATTGCGATGCTTCATATCGTTATTTATTTATGTTCTCAGACATATTAAACACTTTCAAGTAGTTTAAAGAAATCTCAGTTTATTTTTATGTGCTTCAGAAACGTAAAGGAGACGGTTGTATTCTTCAAACATTAAATGATCGGTAGAAAAGAAAGGTATAACTTGGACATATAAACTTTTCTGTATGAAATAATTCTGATATATTATTCACTTATTTTTAGCTACTCATTCAAGTGTAATTGCTCATGAGTATTCAAGCAACAATTCCACATAAATTATTTGACTCTTTGTCTAATCATGAACACACTGTCATTCTAATAAAGGAAGCAATTTATCCCCGAAACAACGGATACAGTTTTATTGTGTAAACAAACATCTTAAATAACATTCCTCCGCTAAATGATATACTTAATAAATATAACTCTTAAAACTCAAATTCTATGCGTCTGATGTCAAGGCAACATAGGTACTTCCTAACTAGTGGTATGTCAGCCTTTCTATTCATGTTTCGCTGTTTTCAAACAAGAAGCTATTTGTACGCCCGCACAAGGCTGACCTAATGCGCATGCGTTGTTGTCACGGTAACTCTCCGCGACAGGCATGTTGCTTCCGTATAAATATGCCGATTTCGGTAAGAACCTTATTTAGGGCTGTGATATTTCACTAGTTGTCCATTTGGGGTTTAGTTGAAATTTTCATAAGTGGATGAACATAAAAGAGAGAAATCTCTTCACTCAGTTTTTTTCGCTTCTCATATCTTTGTTGTACGAAGAAAATGTCGCTACGATCAGTAAGTAAAGAAAAATCTATAATTTATTTATTTTTTAAATCTTAAGAATTGTTTGTTGTGAAACATTTGAGATTTTCTTTTACTGATTTTGTTAACGTTTTTGGTTTACATTTTGCATGCGTTTTTGTTTTTTGAAATAAAACTGGCTTTGATAAAATTAGTTAAAATTAGATTATAGTACGTAAAGACGTAAGAAAATTGTTAATATGGTAAGCAAAATTTAAAACTCATATTTCCATTACAGAATAACTATACCTAATTCCTAGATTTAAATTAGTATCTTAATTTTATTTTTTCTTCTTGTACTTCAACTTCGTATTTTAAATTTCATTGATTATTGTGATATTTTAAAGTGTTTTATTAATTTGTAAAGTTTTAGTGGTACACATTTTACTTAAATATGATCCAGAGAGTGTTCAGTTTAAAAAAATTTCCTTAAGAAGCAATGAAGCAATTTTTTAATAATATAATATTTTTTAATATATATACATATATATCGTGCAAAATATGCAGCTTTTAAAGCAGAAATTGTTACATTTCGCTTTTATGATTCTAATAATATCAACGTGTTTAATTTTTAGATACATACTTGCATCAACGAAACAATTTTTTGGATCAGAGTCTACATAAGCCTCATTGTTGATAAAGTGAAAGATTGTTTGTTTTCATTCCCAAAAATTAATTGAATTTCAAGAATAGGACCTTTAGACTTCCATAAGACTGAAAGAATTCTTGTTCTTTTCAAATTTTCATTTGTCTAAAAATAAATTGTTCTTTGAATTCTAAAAGGAAATTAATAAGATAAGGACCGAAATTTTTTCAGGGCTGTATTCAGTATTTTTTTTTTAAAATTTGCATGTACGTTTAATAAAGTTTGTCTGCATATTCTTCGTTTACTACTTAAGAGTTAACAAATACTACAAAGTATTTCCTCCCTTCTTCCATCATGCCTTCGTGGTGTAACGGTAGCACACTCTGCGCGTATTCGAAAGGTTAAGGGTTCGGGTCTCAGCGATGGCAAATATTTTCAATATATTTCATGGAAATCTAATATACGATTAAACTTGTTTCTTCTTAAGCATCTAACTCAGTTATCTTTTTAAGTTACTTTAATTATCCTTTTAACTAAACCATAATAACTAACTAAACTAATTATCTTTTAACTAATTTAATAAAAGGTTTAATATATAACATTAATTCAAAAATAAGTTCTCGAATTTTGTTAGAAAGTAACCAATTCCTTATCGCTTGTTTTATCAGGCTATAATGTAATTCTCCAACTGACGGTCTATTTAAAAAACGTGCTGAGTCTAGTCAGCATAAACATTTCTTTCAGCTATTCAACAATCTACTAAGCATTGCAAAAATGCCTATTTCTCTAAGTTTTGTGTTTTCTTTATTTTACTAAAATAACATGCAATATTTATTCAGATAGTTAAGTATTTAACTGCTGAACCTTCTTCTATTTTTTATTATTATTAGAGGTTCTATGAGTCAAAATTTGCTTCAGTGCCAAAAGCGATTCCTCTTCAGTCGTGATCCATATAACCAATATTTTATTCAAAAACTAACTTTTCCGAAACCTTTAATAAAATTATCAAATTTTATTTTATATTTTGAACATTTCAAATCAACTTGTATGTAACCCACGAACTGTACTATTTAAATAAATGTCTAACAGACATTTTTAGGATAAGCAACTTTTAAAAGAAGGCTATTTGGTTTAGATCTCTGAATATTTTTTAAATACTGCTGATAAATTTTAATTCGGATTTCCTCAGAATCAACAAAAACTTAATTATCTACTCTTTATATTAAAAGTTTTGGCTTAATTAACTACTTTTAAGAAATTTGTTATGAACATGAAAAGCCTTTCTGAAAAAAATTAACTTTCTTTTACGCGACGCTAAATTTAATACATTAGGTTGTAAACTTTCATGTGAAATTTCATTGCTTTACATCCAAACTTACATTATAATCAAACAAAACGAAAAGAAAGTCTCATTCACACTTAGATATAATATACCCAGGATTCATTTCTTCGATTTGATACATTACCTTTTCACTAAGAACAAGAGGTTTTAAAGCGATAAATTTCTTTAAAAAATTCTGGTTTAGGCCATGAAGCATTAACTACTCTTGACAATGACTGAGGCAATAAAAATTTGAAATAATATGCAGTATTATATTTATTTAAGGTGATTTGCCTTATTTTCTAAGTTGTTTTTTTAACCCAAATTTCGTTAGTCCATAAGGGCTATTTGTTTCCTATTGGCATTTTGCGTCGAAATCTTTAAAAATGTCCGTTTCACTTTTTAAATTGTTGCCCCCAAATATTATCGCCCTGTGTTATATTTAAAGAAATTAAATAATTAAGAATCTCCATAAATTTATGTATGTTTCCCGCATTGTGATAAAACAACGGTACCTAGAGCCATTCAGTTTTGAATAACGTACTCCTCCACTGAATATGGGCATCTGGAAGCCCCAATTTTGAATTTGTTTTATTATCGATTTCATATTTTGTATCACTTTAACGAATTCTTGATTAACAAACTCAAAGATTTCCAAGCGAGCAATGGCAACACGGTACGAGAAAAAATTATCTTCAGCGCGCGAGAGTGTGCATCAGAAATTCTCAAGATATGCTCATTTTAATATGATTTTGCGATATTGCTGTTGAATTAAATTTTATGGTTTAACTGTGAAGAACATGATATTTAATTAATAAAGGGAACACACAAAACGTTAATAAAACGTTCCTTTGGGCGTAATGTAAAATCTGAAAATTTTTGGTTTTTAGTTTTATTCTTTCCCTTTTTTATCTTAATTTTACTTTCAACATCTAACAGTATTTGATAAGAAAACTCTTTTGCTTACCTTTCCTTTAAGAAATCCACAAGACACTTGGAATATTTTGCCGTTTTATCACACGGAAAATTTTATTTATAGTTATTATTTATAGTTATTTACAGTTCGTTTGCTTACAGAAGAAACATTCATCTTTTTCTCTGTCGTTGCCACTATATCTCAATCAAAAAATCTGCTAAGCGGTAAGAAAAGCAATAAACATAAAATGAAAAAGCTGCGTCCTCTCCTCACCAGCATCATGAAACTGTAACCAAGGATCGCTTACTTAAGTATTACAACAATATTCTGCCAAGTCTATTTCGCTTAAGATTCGTGCAGATTCTCTAACGAAAGCTGGCTCGTATTCATTTTCATTCATAAAACCTTCATGTAGGCTGCTCATTTTGTTCTCAGAAATCGAACTCTGAAAAAAACTACTAACCCTTTCTACTCTGCTATTGGTACAACGCCCATAAGAAGCATTCAATAAAAGTAATTTACCAACCGAAATAAAGAATTTCTTTATAAATTTAAATCAATTGTCCGTCACATCATTTTGTCTCACATCGATTCGTAAACCTTAGCAAGTTTTTATACGGAATGCCTCATTTTATCAACTGAGACTGAGCCCTGATTTTGTGAAAGGTAAGGAGTATGAATTTCCAATTTCCAATTCTTTTTTACTATAATAACAAAAAATTCCGGGTATTATACTTCACCGAAAATATTGCTCTCGAATCCAATTTAATGATGTTTTAAAGTGACATCTGTACTTAGAACACAATAAATGACTCTTTTTCCCAAAACGGAGTGTAAAAGGGATTTAAAATGGGTTCAGAATAGATTTTTTTCCTTGACGTTTGTACATACGTACGTATGTATGTATCTCCCATAACTCAAAACGAATAACCTATCTATATATATATATTTGAATTTAACAAATATTCTCTCATTCGTATAAAGCTAATTTAAATTTTAAATTATGAAATTTAATTGTATACAAATAAAAAATTAACTATTGCTGCGAACTAATTTGCATTATCATTTAAATTCAGAGAACATATGTAAATTAAGTTCAAGTATCTAAAACCATGAAAACATATTTAATAATTCAAATAATTAATCCTAAAAATTTAAAGAATTTTTAAGATTAAATTAATTTGCATAAAGTGAAAAATTGTTGAGCAGGCAGGAGAGAGATCTTTTCAAGGGGAAGTTGCCTCCAAACCTAACTCTTCAATTCCTCATTTCGTGTTTCGTCATCCATATAGGCATGGGTAAAGTATTATTCAAAACCAAATGTTGTAAATTGCTTAAATAAGAAATTTTAAGTATTAAAGAATTTCGAGAAATTTAGCTAGCAAATCGACTAGGAAACAAAATTATTAATTAGTACATTGCTAATGAAATTAAGAGTTGTAACAGACCTATTTAAGTGTAATTGAACTATTTTATTCATGTCATGAACTGTAACCGAACTATTTTATTTAAACGCCATCTCGTGGCGATATGAAAAAACGTCAGTCGACCTCCAGCCGCCATGATGATAGCTTACTATGCTATGTTATTCTCAATGTTTGATGTTCCATTTCGTTTATGTTTCATTTTTATGTATATTTCTTTTGTTTGTAACCGTTCCTTCCTGTGTGCTCTGTTAATAAATCCTTTTAAAGCTAGCCGGCATTAGTGTCTATTGAGGAACGGCTACATCACATTGGCGCCCAACTAAATTTGAATCCAAAATGGCGCAACAAAATGTTTAGAATTTCTGTTTGGCTTTAACAAGCTCTTACTCCCGAATTTAACTTTTAGTTGCTGGAGATCGGCTCAGTTTCTTTTCAGGTGTGGACTACTGGTCAAATATTCTGGAAACCAATTCTGGAATTAAAATTGTCATACCGTGCTGCTAGCACATCGAATCATCAACTGGACAATTTCAACGGAAAAGATAAGTTTCGTTTACATTATCGTTTAATCTGAGTTTAAAGTTCTTTTAAACTGATTATTTATTATAAGCTGCTTCTTAAAGCAAATGTAAATTCTTTACTGAAATCTCATTTATTGATACTACATAAGAGTATTAAACGAAAGCAAACGGCTTTCTGTTAACCAAACGTTATTTCTTGAATTGTAATTTGTTATTTTAAAAT